CTGGGCCGGCCCAAAAAAAAATTTTTTAAAGTAGCTATAAGTTGGGCTGGCCCGGTGGCGCACTGGAGATTGCACCGCTTGGGAGCATGGCAGCGGTCCCGTCGAGGGTTCGGATCCCACATACAGACCGGTTCCCGCTCACTGGCTGAGCAAGGCGCGGGGGCAACACCGAGGGTTGCGATCCCGTTGCCGGTCCCGGTCCGGTACAGGCGCCACACTGAGGGTTGTGATCCGTTGCCGGACACGGAAAAAGACAAAAAAAATAAAAATAAAAAAAAATAAATCCTTTACATATGTACATTATTGTAAGTTTCAAAATATTATATCTTCACATACATAATCTTCTTTGGTCTTCCCAGTAAGCCTCTGAGGTAAGTTGAACAGGTCTTATACCTGTTATTACAGATGAGAGGAGGGTGGTTCAGAAGGTTTGAGTAACTTTCTCATGGTTACCTGCTGGGAGTAAAGTCATTCCTGGATCTGGTCTTCTGACTCCCAGCCTTTCCACTTTCCACTGGAACATACACCTTTCGTTGATGATAGCACAGTGTGATTTGAGAGTGCACCAGGCTAGTTTCTTTGGATTTGGCATAGTTTCTTTGATGAAGCCTTTGGGACCCTGCTGACATTCCTGGTTCTGATATGGAAGTACAAATGGTTTCTTTCTGCAGAACAATTTGCTCCCTGACCCCACCCCCCTTTTAAAAACAAAATCCACTTCTCTTCCAGATGCCAGAGTATATATGCATATTTGAACAGTCACCTGGATTTGATTAAGAAGGCTCAGCCTGTGGGTTTCCTCACTGTTGATTTACATGTTTGGCCAGATTTCCATGGCAACCGGTCTCCCTTAGCAGATCTGACACTGAAGGGCATGGTAAGTAACAGCCAGTCCTTGCACGAAGGTGCAGGCAGGCCAAAGGGCTACAGAGTTTAGAAGAAGCAAAGTGAGGAGAAAGGAAAAGGGGAAAAACAAAACATGCCAACAGCCCTCTGGCTTCTTGCGGGTGCGTAGCTATTGTGAAGGCTGCTGCTGCTCCCCAGGGTGACCTGCTGAAAGTTCTCAGTGTTACCGAGCCAACCTTGAGAGCATTAAAAGCAGTATTTCCTGCATTCAGCTACTGCTGCCTGGAGTGGCTGAAAGTCATGCCTATGTATTTTTTGTATTTACCTCAGTTTTTAAAGTCATGTTTTCCATCCCTGTCTCCAGGCTGCCTAGTAAATAAGCGGTAAAAACTGCCACCCATGATCTCACTAGCCACAGCTACACATCTGCCTAGGATTTCAGTTTAAACTTTGCTAAAAGTAAATACAATTAATAATTTATGTTGGAGGATAAAATCACTTATTAGTGACCTTTAGGGTCACTTCCAGAGTGGAGATTTTGGGCCCTCCTTGAGGGGCCAGGATGAACTTGGTGGGTAGGCTCACCCCACTTCAGCTGAGATACAGCATCCTGGAGGTGAGCCAAGATTGGGTGGCTGGGAGCAGTCTAGCCATCACAAGTCATATTTGAGGATGGGCGAAGCAGGTTAAAGGTAGAGAAGCAGGGCTGAGCTTCAGTTCCAAGGGGCCAGGTAAGACCACAATTAGGAAAGTAAGACATGAATGCAGAATCCAGGAAGATGTCAAGAAGTTGAGGAGGAGAGCAGGAGGTAAATGAAGGCAGGGAGTGAGGAATGCAGGCCAGGAGTGATGTAGGGTTTACACAGGGGTGGCCAAGTGAGAGTGGAGCAGGCCTGCTGGCTTCAAGAACTTCAAGACCCAAAGCATTGCAGTTTTGTGATGAATTTGATTGAGATTGTTTTTAATATTCTTATGATGCCAACAGGAAGACGTGAACTTTATTTTCGTTACCTAGTTGATATAATCATCTTCTGCTAATAAAAGGGAGACATGGTGAAAAGAAAAGAAAATTGGACACAGCAAAAGTTATGTGGAGTCCATGGAGCATGCCTACACAACAGATAATGAGCTTGGTCTCCCTGTTGGCCTGTGGAGGCAGAAGAGGAATGTGCAGAGAGGGCCATGTGGCAACCAGCTGCACCTAGAGAGCCATACTTCCAGATGACCAACTCTGCGTGTAGACTGAGGTTAGGGGTAGAACACGTTTTATATGGGTACAAAAAATGAGTGTCTTAACTAGGGACAAATATCTGAAGCCTAATATAGTTAGACACTTAACAGTGTTAAAGAAGTGAGAAGCTTGATCAGTTCTTAAAATGACCCCAAGACAAAGCAGCAGTGCACGGTAAAATGTTTATAGCTGTGGAGTCCCACAGACCTGGAGACTTCTCTTCCCTGCATCTGCTGTTCCCAGCTTTATTACCCAGGGTATCAAGCACCATGTCTCCCAGTGGCTTTTGTCTGTTCCTTAAAACCAAGCCTGACATACAAAGACCTAAGATTTACCATCATAAGGATATTCTAATAAAGTTGACCAAATGCAGAATGTCATTCCAAAGGAGTCTACGGAATGTTTTGAGGAATGCCCATCTCATTAGAATAAGTATGTGCTCACCAAACATGGGGACATAGGCCCAATTATATCTAAAAATCCTGGATGTTTACTTTTTTAAAATGTTTTCTTGTTTTGTAAACATACCTCATATATCACTTGATATTTTTTGGCAGTGATTTCCCTTTATAACTGTCCTTGGGTTAGGCTGGACAATGAAATAGGTGTCACTCCATAGGTTTGCATCACAACTCTGGAAGGAGAAGGTGACCTAGAAAAGATAGAAGGAAGGCAATTCTGGGCCAAAGACTTCTCCCCAAAATCTCTTTTCTTTAATCTCATTTTGGATAACATTGAAATAATCACCCTGAAATTGTTCTGTTTACACATTATGTCCTTTTGCCAGAACCTACGATGTTATTACATGTTATATTCTTTTGCCAGTCCTATCTTCAGCACTCTTTCAGTAAATGTTTATTGGGTGCCTATTATATGCCAAGCACTGTTGCAGATACAGTAAGGTACAGTTCCTACATTCATGGAACATATTTAAAGGAGGGCAAAGAGTTTGATAAAATATTAATAGCAAAGAGAATTGTGAGGAAAATCCCACTAGGGCAAGAACCATACAGTTTCTTCTTTTGGCTCCTGAAACAATTCTCTGGGCACATAGAATTATAATTTATAAGCAATGTGGAAATAATAAAGAGGTCCTTTATTGCTTTAGGAAAAATAAACATATGAACAATTTACAAATACCAAAAGAATTAGATAGCTATTGACTCTTACTATCATATGATTAATATGTAATACCAATATTAATATCCAAGTAAATTGAAATAAGCTCCCATTTTATCATAATTATGAGTATGTTTGTTTATCGATCAAATACAGGCCCTCTTATAGTTGGTAGGTGTTATAACAGTAACTATATATAGGCCCAGCCCTCAGCAATATTACTGTGTTTGGGGGGACAGACAGAATGTATAAACAGGCATTGGGAAGGTGTCACTCATGGCCAAACCTGGTCAGTGGTCAGGAAAGGCTTCAGGTGGGAGGTGGTGCTGACACTGAGTGAAGCAGGGAAGAGGGTTTGGGGGCAAGGGAATCATAGTATATGTGGTATTCCAGAGGGGGTAGAGAGTGTGGCATGTGAATGGCTACAATTTGGCTCCTTGTTTCATTGTCTAACCAGTGAGAGATTGCTTTTATCATTTTATTTTGGTAATAAATAAAGAAAAGGTTTTCCCAAAGGACCTCTGGACACTCCGTATACTCTGCTTCAGCAGCATTACACTCTCCCCGCTCTTTACTCCCCCCTCAGTTGACTCTTCTCTTACCTTTGTTAAACATTCATCCATTCAGTACATATTTATTGAACACCGAGTATGTGTAGGCCTATGTTAAGCCCAGGGAATAGAAATTTTAAAAAGTATCTGTCCTAACTTCACATAAAAGTAGGGGAGATAATTACTATACATGTATGAGTGTGTGTGTGTGTACATGCATGAGTGTGTGTGTACACCTAACCATTAGATAGTGTGACCTCTGTAATATTAGACATCTATGCAGGCTGAGGGAGGTGCTCAGAAAATCTCTGATTTTGGAATTTTTTTGTGAAGTGACAGTTGACTAGCAAGCCTGAAAATACATATGATGATGCAAAAAAGTCATAAACTCTTGTCAGCTTTGAAAATTGGGATGACACTAAAGTAGGAAAACTAGGATTGGCATTCCCAAAGAGAATTTAGGAAGATATTCCAGAATCTAAAAGATTAATATAACTTGCTTGATAGACTTAATATGACATATGAACAAAGTAAACCTTCAGCCTTGAAAGAGTTTGGACTTCTCCACGTTCTGCTCCCTATAAAAACAGGGAAGTTGGGTTTTGTTGTTTTGTTTGCATTTTTGGAAGCAGTTAGTGAGTTTAATTTCCTAGATCCCCTCCCCTCCCCTACCCCATCCCTGTTCCTATTTTCCTTTCAGTTCAATTTGAAAACTGCCAACCCAAGAAACCACCTGGGCAGGAAGTATGAGTTAGGAAGAACGGTGATGGCTTGTAGTCCCAGCATCCCGAGCAAAACTCTGTTAGTGGGACAGAGATAGGAAAGCCTTGGTAGCTCTGTGAATTTAGAGGAAGGATGTAGTTTTGCACTCTTTGTTCTAGGGTGAGAAGCTACATTCTAATAATTGGCATCTAGTTGTAGATCTGAAGAGGCAAATCCAAGTATACAGTGAGTGGGACTAAGAGTAAATCATGTGTACTGTATGCCGGGAAATACTGAATATGTATAGTTGTCCAGGTAGAGTGAATTTAAAAAAATAGTGAGTCCTATAGGAAAAACATTGCATGCAAAGAAAGAGAAATACCATTTTAAACACTTAGGGAAAGGCCTCTTGAAAATTATTTACTCCTGAAACCAAAAGAAAATATTAGGGAACTACTTGGCATATTCAATAGGATTTTTTTTTTTTTTTTTTAAGGCAGATCTCTATGAAGTAGGGCAGAAACTTATTAGGAAACAATGAGTTAAGATGAGAGAACAATGGAATGACAAAAAGTGAAATTATAAAGACCACAAGATCCACTAAAAATGCATTAATAGGATTAAAATCTACATTGAAAGCAATAAGGAGCATAATATTCATTGAAGAAAATAAGATCAGGGCTATAATAAGACATAGCATATATTTTAAATTTGCTCTATTACAAAAACATTTTGAGGTTAGGGGCTATAGTTTATTTACCTTTTTAATCTGGACAATGCTTAGGTCAGAGACTGGCACCACACATAATTGCATTATGGTGAAACAGTTATTTCAGTTGTCATTCACCAGATGAGGAACAAACAATGACCTGCCCAAGGTTACAATACCAGGAAGTGGCAGAGCTCAAATAGAAATACGAATCCTGACTTTTAGGATGCATGCCCCCACAAGGCTACCTTAATCATAACTCTGGACTTTGCAAAATGCACTCACTATTGAAAAAGGCGTCCCAAAAGATACATCATGTGTGGTTTAATACTGAACCACGGTCCTTGGTCTAGTCCTTGCTCCTCTGTTCTGACCACCAACCTTGTCACTCATCCCGCCTTTTTACGCTAACCTTGGTGTTTGGATTTAAACTCTGACCCTGCCTCTTCTCAGTAATGGTTCACTTTCCTTCCCACCCTTACTGACTTAGATTTCAAAAGTAGTAGCCACACCTGGTTTGACCTGGCTCTAATGTTCTTTTACTTTAGGTACCTACCCTCATAATTAGGAACAGGACATAATCCAGGAATCTTTCCATTATGCTTACTAGAATCATTTTCTTTTTCTTCTGGTAACAGTTGGCTCCTGTCATGTGATGAGTTATTTCATTTTTCCTTTGGTGATCCTGTATCAACCTACAGCACTGAGCTAAAAATAGG